CCAATTGGACGGGTCCTCGGGGGTCCTCGCGGTCAATTACGGCGGATATAAGACGAGCAGCGGCGACGATTCGCCAATTAACAGGCCACGGGATTATTATTCACGATTCGTGAAATCGTGATCTCGTGAATCTGCTTCGCTTCCGATTCACGCTTTGCTTCTTCCCTTCGCAGGAAGCGGCTTTGTTCCAGGGAAGGACCTGGTTTCGCGGTTTCCGCTTTTCGGCCGCCCGTCGAATTGAAAGAAAGGTGATTGGAGGGGAGGAAAAGAGGGGGGAGGAGGAGACCGGAAGAGGAGTTAGTTATTAGTGGCGGGGTTGGTTGTTGTTATTGGTGGAATTATGGTGCTTTTACGTATTTCGATATGGGTATTGTGAATCGTATTTTAGTTATAATAGTTAAATAGTAGTACAATGGTAAACTTTATTTTTATTAGTTGCAATGGATACAAAGTATTTATTATTTTTGTATTATATTAATTTTTCATAATCGCTATAAAAAGATATAAAAAAAAATAAAATTAAAATATAATATAAAGTTCGATAAATAAAAAGACAAATTAAGTTAGGATATGGTTTATTAACTCTGTCAATTTATTATGAGATGACCTCTCGGCCCAATTAGACAGGCGTTAACTGCTCGTGTCTGATTAAGACACTCCCTAAACGTACCAATCTTCCTAGAAGTTATTCACAGAATGCAGCGGAAGAAATACGAAAGAATCTCGAGGAGAATCACAGTTCTCACACTTTTCCACCAAATGGCCAGGTTAGCCGGCCAAATTTACTTTGGTCGTGTGATCGAGCTTTTCACGCTTGTTTTCGACGGTTTTCAAAAGACACAGTCTCACCACTGTCTGTCAACTGTTCCCTATTGTTATCTTGGAGTCGAGCCGGAAACGGACACCGGTTTCTTAACGACTTTTCGACACCAGACGGGACTTCTACCTGCCGATCTCGAAGAACGGGATGGAATGTGGGCCTGGCAGGTGTGCGTAAGGTGCGTATGTACATGTGGACGAGCCTTAACGTCTCATAGGTGAGCCGCGTGCAGTCGATCGAGAACAAGATAATGCGTTTTGGGTCACGAAGAGAGTTACTGCCTGGCTCAAAGAGTCACAAGTTTTTTCTTATATTTCGAAACATTTTTAGAGATGTAATATCAAACTTCTTCTCTTTTTATAGTTCTCCAAATTTTAAGGAAAAAGAAGTTGACCCGTTATTGGACCATTTCCAATGAAATTTTACCTCAGAACCAGAGACATTTTTCAAAAATTTATTAGATAACGCATAACTAGTCGGATGAAGATTCAGAAAATATAAAATACTAAGACGAGGAACAGCAAAGAAACTTATTGGCGTAATTGGTCCAAAAACTATCGCGTTGGATACATTAGGTATATTTGGAATAAAATTATTCAAAAAGAAAATAAAAATGTTAGAAACGAAAATAAATGTAGA